GTCTCGGTCGCGGTCCCTCCTCCGCGAGTGTGCAGAGCGGCTGGCGCTCCGTCGGGTGGTGGACGGTGAATCTGTCGAGGGCGAGCGGGCATGCAATCCACGTCGTTCAGAGCGGCGCTTCCCCCCATGGCGGCACTCTGATCAACGAGGATGTGGCAAGCCCGGTACGTTAGCATATGGTTCCCTCAGCAGTGTGTCGGGCCTGGTGGCGGGCTGCCTTCCACCTTGCCAAAACGGTCCTCGACTACCTCGACAAATGTCGACGGACTTGAGCCAAAACGGCTTGAACCAACATGGCGACGGAGGTCGAGTGCTGACCGCATTAAGACAACAAGCCAATCATGAAACATTAGATCAACAGTATCTGTTTCCTCCTGCCCCGTCCTCATTCCTCCTCCTCCTCCACTCTCATCGATCTGTCGACCGGTGATATGTCGCCAAGCTATGGGCCAGGAAACATGCAGCGCTACAGCGCCATGTTGCACGATGCTAGGGAATGACATGATACACAATGCTACGCTGAAAAGCAGTGTCACTATGCAATATGCAATGCAATGACATGATATACTCTACAGTGCACATTCCATGCCGTGCCATGCTGTGCTGTGCAATGCTATGACAATATATGGGATGATACGCTGAACCATCTCATGCTATGTTTCCTTTGAAGTGAAGAACGATGCTACCGCGTTACCTGGTATGCACAGACACGGCATACCGTGCTATGCAATGCCATGCAATGCTACGCCATGTTATGAGCTGCGAGGCTAAACTAAACAGAACGACAGTAAAAGCAACAACGGGGGTGTGCTGTTTGCATGGTTTTCATTTACTGTTGCGCAGAGCAGTACGGTGCAGTTCGATTAATGCTTGTGCATTGGAATGCCATAGTACGCCACGATGTGTCATGAGATGCAATGTCATGCTAGGCAATATTACGTCGTGACGTGCAATGCTAGGCTCAGCTAGACACTGCGATGGAATGCAATGCTATGGCGTGCTGCACCATGCTGTGATATGCACTGACACGGTTAGCTCTGTCGTGCTGTGCCGTGCCATGTAATGCCATGCAACGCTGCGATGCCACGATAGGCTAGACAGTCCTTTACTATGCACCAGTATGCTTTGGAGGCCTCATTGGGGGCCGTTTGGGGTGCGTTGGGGGCCTCGTTTTGGGCCTCTTTGGGGCCTCATGGAGCCTCTAAGGGCCTCTGGGGGACCTCTTGGGCTCTGTTGGGGGCCTTGGGCCCCTCTTGGGGCCGTCTTGGGGGACTTTGGGCAATCTGGGGCGCCTCATGGGCCGTCTTGGGGCGCTCTTGGGCCGTCTTGGGGCTATCTTGCGCCGTCGTGGCGCCCTCTTTGGGTGCCTCTTGGGCCGAGTTGAGCTGATTTCTGGGGCCTCGTAGGCTCTTGGACCGTCGGAAGTACGAAACAGCGAGAACAAGATTTTCAAAAACACAACAAAAATGCTTCGCGTGCAGAGTGCATCGTGGGAGTCAGTTTGAAAGCATCTTGGCCTTCTTGAAGCCCTCTTGGGCTGTCTTCAAGCCATGTTGGACCAATGTTGAAACGCTGCTGTGCGGTGTTGGGCTCTCTTGGAGCGCCCTTGGGCCATCGTGGCGCCCTCTTGGACGTCTCTCGGCCCCCTTTGATGTTTTTTGACGCCCACCGCGGGCCCGAAACAGCTGGAACATAATTCAGTACACTTTGGGGGACCCGGGGGGCGCTACCCAGTTTATATGTGTATATAAATATGTATCGATATATATATATATATATATATGCATCGATAAATAGATCGCATCGCGTCCACGCTCGCGGCGGCGCGGCGTAGAACTCGTCACCAAACACACACACACACACACACACACACGCACACACCCACCCGTCGCTCGTCACCCGTCACCCGTCACACGTCACTCGTGGTCACACACAAACCCTTCGCAGATGCCTGGTTGCGCGCGAGCATGCCCGCGATAACGCCACCGCAGCGACGCGCCAGCCAAAGCCAAGCAACCATCGCATTTACCGCAGCATGGGTTCAGAAACACCTAGTTGCGGGTGGGTGGGTGGGATGATTGAGCGAGCACTGGAGTTGACAAGTTCAAGGGCGAATTGCAACAACAGAAAGTGCACCACATAGATTGCATCACGAAGGCTGCACAACATAACAATTCGAATCTACCACCCCGGGGTGATACATTGTTGTTTTCGTCCCATGATTTTCTCATCCACACCCCTCGTCCGTCCATTAAATGAACTCGTACCATCCCAACCCGCCCGGTATCGACCCCCCGACAGACATACCATCCTTTGCAAAAAACATTATGCGTGCACGCTCGTGCGCCAATATTATCAATCTCAAGCCGAAAACCTTCGAAAACCTTGGGTGTCGTAAAGGTTTGAAAACCGTATGTCCCGAACACAATTTAAGACAAGTTGCGGGGGGGAGGGTGGGATGAGTACGCGGGATAAGGAAACTGGCGTCTTCGTAGGACCGGAAGCCCGTTGGAAACAGGTACATGTGATTAAAAGGTATTTGGATCTAGCCCCCCCCGCACACACGGATTTAACAATTCACATTTTTCGCATTGCAATTTGCACGTGGTTCTGTCCCATTATCCATCCTACATATGAGTTCGCATCATCCCAGTCAAACCGGCAACACCCCCCCGTCATCCTCTGCACCAAAACAACAATGCGCGCACACTCGTGTATAAGACTATGTTTTGGATGTGTGTCCTTTCCGTTGTATACAAACCTTGCCAACAAAAAACGAAGCGAAATGCACACGCACGCGTTGTCGCGCGCGAGCATGCGGGAATCACTCAAAAACCGTAGGTTTCGTAAGGATTGCAGTACCCTGGTAACATCGGAAATAAACAACAAACATATGGTTTCGCGACATGTTTTCTAATATGAATAAACGCTCGCGTTTTTGCAAAGTCTCAAGAACACCATCGGTTCTTCACCATATTTGATCCGATTCGGCCAATGGGACCTTCCACGCTGCATGTCGACATCAATCGGACGCCTTTGCGCACGTGCTGGGGGGGCACGATCCGTGTCAAGTAGTACCATGCGGGCTAGTATCGCGCGCCGGCCGCGCGCGCATGTCAAACTCCTTGGAAAACCTGCATCACCGACGCGAGGACGCCGACATCGTCGTCGGCGTGATCACCATCGGCGCCGTCACTGGCCGTGCCGTCGCCGTTGTCGTCATCGTCGCTACTACCATCATCGTGTCTACCGTCGCCGACGGTCCCATGATTCCGCGACCGCCCAATGGCCGACTCGCACTGAAGTGACCGTTGGGAAGTGCCCAGAGGTCAGCGCCGCCGCGGCTGCGTCGGTCATGCCACACTAGCTGGCCGCTGCGCGCGCGAGCATGCGCGGGCCAGCGCGTCCTCAGAAATGCACCTGCCAACACCAAACACTCATCGCAATCGCCGCCGCAGGTGTTTTGCGAAACAAATTGCGAGTGGGTGGGTGGGATGATTGAGCGAGCAATTGAACTGATAACTGCGAGTTCCAAAAGTGAATTTTACAACATATATTGAACCACACAGGCTCCACCACGTAGGATGCATCACGTAAAATGAAACACCTATAGTGCACATAATAGGCTGCACAACCTATATTGCAGATCGCGGGTTGCACAACTGTTGAAACATCAAAAGTTACATAACTTTGATTGGCCGACACAATTGTGTCCCACATATATTGCCCCTTAAACATTGCACCGAAAAACTGCACCACCTAGATTGCACCACACATATTGCTTTGCGTAAAACTGCACCACCACGATCGCTCCACACATATTGCCCCACCTGTACTGCATCAGCTAGACTGCGCCACAAATGTTGGCCCACTTAGATTGCACCACATGGGCTGTACCACATAGATTGGACAACCACTACAGCACCAAACACATTGCACCACATGAATTGCAGAACATAGATTGCCCCACATCTATGGCGCAACACAACGGGATCCACATATATAGCACCACATATATTGCACCGCGCACGTAGATTGTCCCAACATCGTGAAATATGACCACGTAATACGCTGGACCACACAACTGCTTTGGGCCACTGACGGTTAACATTTGATGTTCAATCCCGAGCCGCAGATCCAATTCATGACACTACCTACGAAATCTTCGAAAACCATCCAGGACGTCGACGGGAGCCATTCGAAAACCGTGCAGCTCTGCCGCGGAACGGGTGGATCCGCGCAGCGAGGGACGTCCCCGCCGACGTTGCGAGCGGTGTTCACGCTGCTGCAGCCAAAGGGCGGCGCCAGCTTGCCAGGCGCACTGTCGGATACAAGTTCGAGGTCCTCCGTCCAATCGTTCTCTCGCCGCCGTGTCTGGCGAGGCTCAAGGTTCAACGCCGGTGGGGTGCATGCCCGAGCTGCCTGGCTGCGCTCTGGGGGGGGGGTCTGTGCTCAGGGGAGGCGGCAGCACCGCCCGTGCTGTTACTTAGCCGAACCTGGCTTCCCCCTCGGCCATCGTTGGCCCCGCTGGAATCCAGCGCCCTGTGCAACGACATCTTGCCTCACCCTCCACACATGTCAACCATCGGACACCGTCGTTGACGTCGACGACCGACGGACCCCCTCGCAAATCAAATCGATAAATCGGATCGGCGATCGAAATGAATCGGATCGGCGGGAATAAGTCGGGAGAACTCGAATCGGCCGAAATCGGGGGGCCAAAAAGTAATCCAAAGAAAACTCGGAATCCGAAGTTGACTCGAATGGGACTCGAAACCGTCGGCACCGAATCGGAAGAGTCGAAATTGCGGAAACCAGAAGGTACCGATACTGCTACTCCACGGGTGTCTCCTGGGGTGCTTTCTGATCAGAATTTCGAAGCGAATCCAGCGATGGCGACGAGGGCCGCCCAGGAGGCCCGATAAGGGGAAAGCCGGGGAAATATAGAGGTATGGGCACATCTGCCTCTTCTGGGTAATGAGCCCTCGCACCGCCAGCGCCTCGAGGTCGATCCCCGCCTGCGACAGCACCCGCAGGAGCCCCGCGCCCAGGCCGCCTGCCGCGAGCGCCGCCGACGACGAGGGTCAGCCATCTTCGAACTCCTCGTCGTCGTCTTTGCCGTCGTCGTCGTGGTCGTGGTCGTCGTCGTCGTCGCCGACCTCGTCGATCGGCCTAAAAAGCAGTGATAAGCATTGGGAGCAAAAATCAGGCGTTTGGGTTTTTTTTCAGCAGGTGTACCAAACCACACCACCCAGATGTATTATCCATTATCCCGAATACAGGAAGGGGGACCTGAAGCGGGCTACATCTTCACTGTGTTGTCAGGGTTAGAGGTTCTTTTCAGTGCGGGCGCGGCCGAAAGAAACTCTCGCAAAAAACAGCCCTGAAACCCGCAGGCGCGAGATTCAAGAGCACCCCGAACGCAGCAGCTTCTTCGACGGCCGCGGGAAGCCACCGCGAAGCGCGCGGAGCGAAGAAACCCAGGACACCCTGACGAAAAGAATATGGTTGTTGCTGATACGCGTCCCGACTGAAAGTCTTTACGTGTTATGAGGGTCAAGGGTTTGTTTATTCTCGATGAATCTGTCTGTGTGTGTTGTGTGTGTGTGTGTTGGAGGGCAAATCGCTGTAGAGCCTCTTCCGCAAGTTTAGCCTCTGGAAGCGAGTGCTCTCAGAGGCCCCAAGGGCCTTCCAGAACGACGGTTCCGGGATGCAGAACTGCCCCCGAGAACAGCATCGAGACTCCTCAGGTCATCGCCGTCGTCACCGCCGCCGTCCTCCGCCTCCTCCTCGTCCTCGCCGTCGCCCTCGCCCGCATCGTCTCTCCTCGTCCACCTCATTCGTCAAGAACGGAGCTGCGGACCTGAATTTTTCTGGACGGATGGCCCCAGGACTAGCCAAAAGGCCCCCTTTTGGTCTAAAAGGCCCCCCAAAACCCCCGCAACAAATACGGAGGAAGAGAAACAACAATCCGCAACAACTACACGCGGGCCGCAAGACGGGAAGTCGCAAACAACACGCACGAACTCGGAAACCGTATATGTTCTCTTCTGGGGGTCGGCGGAATGGCGTAAGCCTCTAGAACTCTCACTTGGCATTGTTTGGCATAGCGTGACATGGGTTCGATTGTCTTTGCCTTGCCAGGCGTTGCTTGGCATTGCGTTGCATCTTGGCATTGCTTGGCATTGCTTGGTGTTGCCTGGAATTGCTTGGCATTGCATGGCATCGCTCAGCGATGCTCGGCATTGATTGGCATCGGTTGTAGTATTGCTTGGCGTTGGCCTGACATGATCTTCATATTGATTGGCGTGGCTTGGCATGGTTGGAGTCGTCGCTTCGCATTGCTTGGCATTGCTTGGCATTGCTTGGGATTGATTGGCCTTGCTTGGCAGTACTTGACATTGCTTGGCAATGCTTGTGGCATTATTTGTGGCATTGCTTGTGGCGTTGCTTGTGGCGTAGCTCAGCATTGCTTGTCATTGCTGGGCATTGCGTGGCATTGCTTGGCATTGCTTTGCATTGCGTTGCATGTATTGCTTGGTATTGCTCGACATTGCTTGGAGTTGATTGGCACCGCTCAGCATTACTTGGAATTGATTGCTTGGCGTTGCTTGCGGCATTGCTTGTGGCAGTGCTTGGTATAGCTTGACATTGTTTTGTATTGCTACGCGTTGCTTTGCAGTGGTTTGCATTGCTTGCTTGGCACTGCTTGGAATCGTTACTCGGCGGAGCTTGGCGTTGCTGGGCGTTGCTTGGCATTGCTGGGCCTTGCTTGGCATTGCTCGGTATTGTTTGGCATCAGCTGGCCATGCATGGCACTGCTTCTCAAACCCGAGGAACGCCAGGCCACGCCCGGGGCCGAAAAAAAACGAGAAACCACGAGGAACCCCAGGGAACCCGGGGCAACGCTGGGGGCGAAGGAGCCCGCACCCACCGGTATCTTAATACGCTGCACAAGTATGCAGACCAACGCCGGCCGACGAGTCTTCCCTGTGCTCTTCAAGCGAGGACGGCGGTGTGTGAAATCGTTGGCTCTCAGTGGTGGTTTGTACACCGCCACCCTCCCCATGAGACGCATGAACAGTGCATTGGGCGGGTTTTGTGTATTTAAATATATACACATATACACATATATATATATATATATATACGTAGCACCCCGCAGTCGCGGATAAGTGTGAGAGGGCGGCGGGGACGTCTGCAGTCTGTGAGGCTCCGAAGAAGCCCGCCGCAGGAGCCCGTTCAAACATAAATTATGCAAGGGGCCCGCCGCGGGGGCGCCGATTCTTTGTTAAAGCAATGAAGGCGGGTCGCGGGGTGGGTCGCGGGTGGGTCGCGGGTGGGTCGCGGGTGGGTGGAATCCCTACGAAGCCTCATGGGATCCTTTGTGGAATCTCTACGGACCTTCATGGGATCACGATGGAATCCAGACAAACCCTCATCGGGATCTCTGTGGATTCTCTGTTAACCCTAATGGGATCCCTATGGGATCCCTACAGGCCCTCATCGGGCACCCCCTGCAGACGTAAGCCAATCTTGACGGCGCGCACATGTTGCGTTTCAACGAGTTTGACCTCTTGCTGGCAAAGGCTTTTGGGCGCAAGCATAGGAGAACGTCGGGGAAGACGCAAAGGGGAGAGTGGAATACCCAAGAAGGCCCCAGGACGGCCCAAGAGAAACGGATGGGATTTTTCGGCACGACCACTGTGCTACATGCGTAAGTAAAAGCACACTGAAAAAGTTCTGAAGAAGGGCAACCCCGCTCTCCGCAGGGTGGAAGTCCTTGCGCATCTGAATCCAGCTGCGCGGGCGACACTTGCAATCCAGGCCGGTCTTCCTGCCTGTAGGCGGCCCCGTGCACGGACTACCCAACTTCGCAAAACGGGCTCCTGAAGTATACCCTTTACAGACAGCGCGCGCGACCGCGAGAGACTCGTTCGAACAGCCGAAAATGAGACATATGCGCCGAAATCATGGAAAACCTCCGCGCAGACCCTCGGCTCGCCACTGCAAAGACCAGGGGGGGGGGGTCGACGTCGCAAGCTTTCCTGGCCGCCCTTCGACAGAGAGAGAGAGAGAGAAACAAAAAAGAACAAAAGAGAGAGAGAGAGATAAAAAAAGAGAGAGAGAGAGAGAGAGGGAGAGAGAGAGAGAACAACAAAAAAGAGAGAGAGAGAGAGAGAGGGAGAGAGAGAACGCACAAAAAAAAGACAACAAAATAGCGCTGCCAGAAAAAAAAACAGGCTGGCAGCCAGCGGGCGGGCCCATCCACGCCCGCGCACGGGGGGCGGGGGCGTCTCGCGGAACCTTCTCTTGAGGCGGGCGCCGCTCGACTTCCGACAGGTCCGATCGGGGCCAAGGGGGCATCAGCGCAGCTGCCAGGCGCACAACGTGCTGGGCACACCTGAGAACGCGATTGGCTGACCTGGACGCATCGTCCGACGGCAACGAGCGAATGGCGCCCCCATGCGAGTGCCGCGTCGGCGCCGGCACTTCGAAAGCGCTCGGCCCCGCCAATGTCTGGGTCATCAGCGGCCCGATGCGCGCGAACCTTCTCGCGCCCAAGCAACTTGTGACAACCGAAGGGGCGCCCCTGCAGCGCTGGGCCCGCGCGGGGTCGCTCGGGCGCGAGGCGCAGCGGATCAAGCACGCCGCGCAGCTGACCACGTCGGCGCAATCTGAATAATGCAGACAGAGACGGCCCAGCCGCGAGAGCTCCTGCCATCGCGCAGGCCGCAAATTATCCAGCCTGTGGCGCCCGGGGGCATCTGTCCCAGACAAGGCCCCAAGCCATGGCGAGATGGGCCATTCGGCCGGGCATGGCCAAGCCCCGCCCAGCACGATTCAACTCGCGCGCAGACCTGCGAGAGCGCGAGCTGTCCACGAGTGGCCCCGGAGCTCTCTGGAACCCTCGGGCGGGGGGGGCCGCGCCTTCGGCCTCGAAGCCGTCAGCGCAAAACCTGAAGCGCACTCCGTGGTCTCCGCTACCTTGATCGGCCATCGGGGGGGGGGGGCTTCGGCAGGGCGATGCAAAAGTCCAGATGCAATCTGGAATTGGGGCCTTCCCACCAGCCTACGGCGCAGAGCCCAGGATGCTTCGCGTAAGCTCCTGCGGGGCGGGGGCAGCACGTTCGTCGGCAACGCTAGGGCACTCCCAGAGCCTGTGGAACAGCGTGCCCCCCCGGGCCTGGCAGAGGTGGCAGACGTTCGCGACGTCGTAGCCCGCCTCTCGGCCCTGGCAAGGGGTCAGATTCCTTGACAGGCTAAGTATTGAATCGCCCCTTCCCAGCGGGCAGTGTAATTTTTGGAACGCGCGGGAGAAATCGCAACATCGAACCGCACCCTCGGGGCCCCAACGCTGCCATACTTGGCGGCCGCCTCTCGCTCGAGACCCCTCCAGACCCCTTCCCTGAGGAGGGCCTTGAACAGAGCGGGGGGAACGAGGGCGAAGGGGCGCTGGGCGCCCAGGTCACTGACAAGCGCGAACGGGGGCGGCATATACCGCCCGACCCCATGCAGGGGCAGCTTCAGTGCCCCGACGGGCCCCGCCACAGTGCGCCAGGTCCAGGTGCGAGGGTAGCTCGCGCGCCGGGCCCCTGAAGTCCTTCCAAGGAAAACAACATCGGTAGCCCGAGCGCGCCGGGCCCAGACCTCCTTAGACCGCCGAACGACAGGAGAGACGGCCCCGAACCAGGCAGGGCCCCCCTCGATCCTGGACAAAACGGTCACACTTCGCCCCCCGATCGTCGGTGTCATCGTGGCCGCGCACAGCCTGCGAACATGTAAAAGTTCGCCGTCGCTGCGTCCGTGGACCTCGCTGCGGGCCCCGCAATGCAAAATTGGATGGCCCTGCGCCCTAGAACGGCGCGCTGACGGGCCAGGCTGCTAACTCGGCGCATCGCCTTGACCAGCCTCGCCACAGCGCGGGCATTGCGCCCGCGCACGCGCCGGGCGCCGCGCACTGCGCCATCAATCCCAGGGTTAACTGCCGATTATGTGCGAGCTCCTCGAGGTGGCCCCAGTCGTTCCTGGATGTGTCTGGGAATCTCCTTCGAC